CTCAAGGAAAAACAGTTTTGTAGAAAGTACTTTTACTTTCTGTATTTTTCCTAGGATGAAATCATTTCCATTCGATTCCACAAGTTTCCTGCAGAAACAATATGAACTAAATTTTGGTTTCTGCAAATTTCAGTGGTACCCAATTAAATGTATTTTCTCGTATATTTTTCCCCATTGTGCAGTGGGGACGTTATACAGCCAAAGAAGAAGAAGAAGAAGAAGAAGAGGAAGAAGAAGAAGAAGAAGAAGATATTTCAAGAATAAATGGGTCATCTTGGCAATACAGATGGTCTTAATTCATAGTGCATGCATCGGCCCAATATTAGCGATACTTTAGCCCAAGTAAGGTGCATCAGCCCATGGTTGCCATATCACTGAAATAATTTCTTGCCACATAGACTGATAACGAGTGGGAGACGTAAAAGTGGCGCTAGTACCGTTTCATGCTTGCCTCATGTTATTTATCAAAAGTCATTCATTCCAATAACCGGAAACCTTGTTGCTATCAACAAGTAGCGAGTAGATTAGCTGAAAAGAAACTCAATTCAATGTAGGAATGACAGCTAGATTAGATTAATGGCTCTACGGACAAGATGCTTTCACAAGACGCGTTGTTTGGTAAATGAGAGAATGCGGCAGGCACAAGATCAACTACGACCGATTATGACTTAATTTGTTTCACTCGACTACCAATTCCTTGCATGTTTTCGCGTTTTCCATCTATTCAACGCTGCTTGTGGTGCTGTATTTTGCGATAAAAGCTATAATATGTGTCACAAACGTGTTTTTATTACGAAATCAATGAAGATGCCGTACCACGGGCAAGCTGGAAACTGGTTATCATGGCAGATTACAACTAGACAGAATTAAAACTATCCCGTTATAAAAACACTTTCGCCCCTGCTTTTACAGATTTGGATAACCAGATATTAAATAACAGTGTGAACTATTGCACAATATGACGCGTTATGTCTCCTAATGATTTCGTTTCGATCACTTATCTTTCTCGTCATAAAACGACAATCCCTTCGTTGGTTTTCTACCGATTGGACCACAATGAACATATGTAATCGATCAACTCTGGTGCACGGCTTTTTACCTTTAATCGCAACCGAAACCATCCCCCGGATGTACGCTGCACTTCCGAGTGCAGTTGACTTAATTTTATTTTCATTTGTGCAAATGTGAGTAAAGAGAAAATTTATCGCCGGCATTGACCGTCTAGCAAGCACAGCGGTGTTAAGTTGCATGCACCACCGACCGAGACGGTGGTTGTTAAAGTGAAGAGCGATCTTGAAGGAGAAATGAGACACGTTTGGTCAACTGGTTCTCCGATGGGGTGAATACAAATTAACTTGGATTGATCGTTGCTGCATGCATGCCGTAATGGTGTGAATTCCGTGAATGGTGATGACGAACTAACGACTTAACGAGATATATAAAGAAAGCAATGTTTAATACTGTTACGTGAGTCGTGGCCCGATGACTGAGATTTTGCGGAGTTAATTATGGCTCTCAATAAAATTATTGGTTGGCAGTCAGTAGCGAATTATTTTTGTTGATGATGGGACGGTGAATCCAATATAGTAAACTTATTTTGATATTTGTTTGATCATATTATTAGTCCAAACAAGAGTATGTGTATGAGAGTCACGCTAAAAGACAAATACTGTAACTCGCATCACGGTTTCGAAAGATTCCCTTCCCTTTCACATGGACAGAGGAGTTTTGCGTCAACATTTAAATTACTTCCAGCGAGATAGAAATTTAGCAGTTGTAGTAAATTATTATATCAATGATTTTGACGTAATATCTTAACCATTACTGATCATTTCCAAACATATCCCATGACAATTTAAAGCTCCCTTCGTGTTAATGATCATCTCTTCGTTGATACGTTGTATTTTATTGCAATGCCTTTCGCGGAGCTGCCATAACATCGTAATGTTTATTACCTTTGTTAGATAGGTAGACGATTTGAAAGATCGATCGGTAAATTTGGCTTCTCTCTTGGCGTGAGTCCAGGTGTGGCTTGGGTATTCGAATTTTAATGGGATTTGATGTGTCGTAAAATTGATACGTTTCAGGTTGATTCTAGTCTCGATATCTCCGGAACCAGTTCACCGTTTTCTAAAATATTCCATAGCGTTCAATAACTAGGACCGCGGTAACGTCAATTTGGCGTTTGATGTGTCAATTTCGTGCAGTGGTTGCATATAAACACTGCTTGGTAACAAAGATTAATTTTATAAAATAATGCCGATGTAGTATCTCCTTCACCCTGACTCATCAATGGGATTTTTTTTTAAAAAAACATGACTCTCAAATTCAAGATAGGCTATTCATTACCTGATATATGGATAATATGGAGCTTAGAAGCCAAAGGATGAAATATTGGGTGTGATAGTTACGTGAGGAATATTTGTTGTGAGAACATCCTGAAAAAAATCTGACAACCCATCAAGAATCAAATGGTATTAGCTGGAAAATGGAAAACTTTGACATAGCCAAGTTGTAAGACATTTTTAAGATTTCAAATAAAAGATGGGGATCATAAAGCTTGAGTCATTTAATATCGGGACGCAAATAAACGGATTTATTTCGGAACCATCTTAATGAAATAAAAATTTAGAGTACTCAAAATTAGGGTAATTACTGCACTTTAAATAAAAAATAGCGAAAAAAAATTTATTCCAATTTGGTTTTGATGAAACCTTGAACTTTTCTTCGAATACCACTCATCATATTTTGGACACTCCGTTGGCTAACCTGAGTGGCCGTTTTGTTCAACCATCTCTTCATCTCTGTTGGATCCCGAGTCACCTTTCCTTTCTTCTTCAACTTCTGTTTGACAATTGCCCAATATTTCTCAATTGGATTGGCGGAATTGAGGGCAGTTGGGTGGATTGATGTCCTTTTCGAAGAAATCTACCCCATTGTCTCGATACCACTGTAGAACTTCTCCGCTGTAGTGACAGCTTGCCAAATCAGGCGTGTCCATTGTGAGCCTTAATGTACGGAAGAATACGTTTTTTCAGGCACTCCTTTGGAATCCATAGTCTTGTTTGTCCCGAAAACCTGAGTTTTTTGTCCGCAGCTGCAAATACCTTGCCAGATCATAACTTCGTACTTTGTAAGAACCTCATTGTACATCTTTCGGGCATGTCTTTTGGCCACTAGATGCTGCTTCAGTGTCTGTCTGGTTGCTTACTGGCCCGAAAAGATCTAAATCCTTCTCGCTAACTAATCCTTCTGACGGTGCTTTGACTGGCATTGAATTTCTTGGTGATATCATAATCCGACAGCCCTGGGTTTGCCCTAACCGTTCTCAACACCTTGAAATGCAGTTTCCGATCCTTAGCTCCACTACGACGTTTGCTATGATCCTGCCGATCGCTCACAGAAATCTTTGAGAACACTGCACACGGTCGATTTAGCCAATTTCGACGACTTCGCGATTATTGAAGCTGACCAAGTCGGATTTTCCATGTGGGTGTCCAAAATTAACTTGCGGTTCGTGGTTTCCATCAAGTTTAACTTCTTTTAAACAAAATGAATCGTGATGAACTTTGCAGCACTGAAAAAGGAAACATTTTTAAATTAAACTGCTGTAGAACATTCCAGATCCGGTCCCGTTCTTGAATGTTTTTGAACTATAGTATCTTACCAAACGTATGATTGAATTGTTCACGTCGAAATCATACGTATATTTATATTTTTACATTGAACTTATTGTTTACAAAAGCACTTATTTACGTTGGATTGAATATTTACTCGAGATTTGATGTATTCTGCATCGAAATCAATCTTTATCCTACAGCAAGCTTAACCGTAAATTATTATGGCGAAAGCCTGGATCGGTGAAAAGAAAATGTACACTTTTCCCATAGTTAGGGTCAGTGCAGTATTTGATGGGGCCTCAATACCACGCCAGAGGGGCGGCAAATTTGATTCCCTTGGGCATAGAGTTGTGCTTGCCACACAAATTCATGCATATTCGCTACAGAAGCGTAAAAAGTCTAGAAGAAGAAGCAGTGTGAGATCGCTGCCAAAAGAGCTCAAAGTTTTAGAATATTTGTGATCAGAACCGGATTTGGAATCGATTTAGCTGGGAGGATTTAAATCAATATTTTAAACCACCCTGGTCTACTGTTACAGTGCTCAAATCCACTAAATTTAGACCTGGAATTTAGACCTGGTTAACGAAGGTATATTTTCCGAAACATATTTTTTTTTTATAGCGAAGTAAGTCCAAGCAACCCTGCTCTCGACATACATAAATTATCAAACGAATAAAAATAACAGGTCTCTTGTAGCATATGTACATTAACAGAAGCGTCAATGTTTCTACCAAGCGCTATCGGCTTACTTATTTGTTTACGGAAGAGTGACTATTTATGCAACTCAACTGTTAAAACGTAAAGTGCCAGATATCTCGAGGCGCAATGTATGCTGCTGGGAACCGGTGACGAAAGAACGACCCGTCCATGTGCACTTTGTGCATCTGTCGTAAGCGCTTCCACCTTGAATTCCCACAACGCAGCACCCGTGCCTCATGAGAATTCTTGCTTCTAACCACCAGCCTGCAAAGAGCATTATCATGAACGAGCATGATTTACACACTCTCAGTTCACGGTGCCCCGTCATGGCCGCGTTGCAACTGCTGCTATGTCGATGCATTTGTCCACGGCAATGGCGGCGACTCGGCGGTATTTGGTTTGGTACGGCGCTTCACCCAGAGCGATTTATTTTTAATTTTCATAAAACGGTAAAATGTGAGGAATGCCGATGAGAAACGCTGCGCAAAGTGTAACAAAGACAATTGGCCCATGTGGCATCATCGCGTTCAAAATGTTGCGTCAGAAATAAATACATACCAAGACCTACTATACGATCAGCGAAAGTAAATAGTAGAAAAAATATGGGTCTAAATTATATTTCTTTTACATTATGAGCACGCCATACCGCTTCTAATAGCTTGTATTTGTTTATGCTTACAGGATGTTGTGTGATAGGAAGTTTACTGGCGGAGAAGAATGTTACCGAAGAGCTAGCCACCAAAGAGAAGCGCCAAACAGATCACGAGACTCGAACGGTACCTCAGGCGGCCAACCGACGACAGCAGCAAGGTGGATACTACCAGGACCCTGAAGCGGCGGCGCACTACTTTGCCCAGCAGGCGGGGGGTCAGCTTCTGTTTAGACCTCACCAACACAAGGCAGGCCAAGAACAAGCGCAAGAGGTAAGTTATGTCCAAGTGGAGCATCCGCTCAGCCGATTGTCCAACTCCTAGTTAGAATGTAAAAAGTTCAAGGAAGATTTCTTCATTACCACCTCCCAGATACTACACACGCCAGTGTGATGTATACCGGGGAAGATGACGATACGTTTGTCAACGATTTTCCCAATATGCATGCTCGGGTTGCATTGAAACATCCCTAAGGCTCCATGACTAAGAGCAGAGCCAAGATCAATTGATTTTCTAGTGATTAAAATTGGAAACGTGATGCACGTTTACCATTTAAGCTGTACTGCCACCACAGTCTTATGTAATTATATTGTCCCAGTAAAGCAGAAGAGCATCATCGGCGGCGGCGGCGCGCTGAGACCGAGTTGCGCTTCCCATGAGAGTCGTCGGCGGAAAATTACGCTCGTAGGTCGGTATTACATATACCTACCGCACACGGGGCATCGTTTACCTATGGAACCTATGGGCCAGATTGCCCTCGTTGCTTATTATGTTTCGATTAGTTTTGATTTTCTCGCGTCGGCATGACGGTAAAGGTGAAGCTGGGAGATGAGCAGACGTGTACCTAATCTTCGAAGAGCAAAGAACATCTTCTTGCTGGTTGAATAATACGTTTACGACTTTGCGGATTTGTGAGATATTTGTGGCGAGTAGTGTTAATTTGAACAGAATTGGCCTGGAAACGTGGGGGAGTAGTTGTATCAATTGAACACAACTTTAGTTTGCGGAGCGAAGATAATGTATGACCTTGGTGTCAAAATGTATCTATACAAAATTGCTTGAAAAAATGGTTGCACGGCTCAACCACAAAGTTTCGCCCTTGGTAAAATATGAAAATTACGCCCCTTTTATAATTGATTAAATCAAGAGCAAATTTTCATTACGTCGAATGTAACAAAGGTAAACAAAGTCGAGCTATCAGTGTCAATCGATACTCCTGCTATTACACTATATACTGTCCGAATATAGGATCACATCCCATTTTTAAATTTATTTACCAGTCGAATTGCTTTTTGACGTAATCACCTTCCGATCAAAATAGTTTTCGATGTTACTTAAGTCACCCAATTTCTATGGAGATGCCGTTTGCCTTAAGTAACAGCACTGAGAAACCCGTGAAAAGTGTACTTTCGTCGTTTCGCTTTCTCATTATTAAAGTGAATAAATCGAACTGTTTGTTGCTAAGATGATTTCGGTGGTCCTAAAATGATGAATGGGCTGCACGTAAGGAGACGTAATTGATAATTCTCCCGAATATCCTGGTAAATACACTTTGACTTAAGTAACAATAGGGGCCACCAAACGACGTATAATAACTTTTGACTCAAAAACCAGTATTTCTTAGCATGAAAGCTAGCGATTTGCCTTTGTATGATTAAAACCCGGCTAAATATGTTAAACATTGCTATCACTATGAGATTATATGTGTTTAATTGGAAATAGGAATAACTTTTCGGTCATCAAAACAAAACTTTATTTTTCTCGGATCGGTGCGAATGTTACTTACGACATAATGAAAATTTGCTCTTGAAATCAAGCACTTGGTTTCGAAAAGAAGCATAATTTTATCTACTTTCAGGATCTCAAATTAAATAGTCATAGTAAAAATGACTCCAGATCTGAAAAGGAATCAAAATTGTCTTTATCATGACAAAATAACATACGACATACGAGTCAAATCATAATGGGGGATCAGTAACGGCAATTGACCACTTTGTCAAGCAGTTTTGGCGTGACTTTCTACCAGCGATTTTACAAAACTGGACCAACTCGACAGTGAGCATGCATAAGGGCCTATACGCGATGATCGATTCTCTTCATCGATTTTCTCTTTGCATTGCTACAGCTAAGCGAAACAATTTTGTAGAATTTATTCAATGTAGAGTTGTAACAGGTTGCATTGGCTATCAAAAGCAACAGCAAACGCACCGACAAACGTTAAATCTAGCGAGTTATTAACAAAAGAGAAAATCGATGAAGAGAATCGATCATCGCGTATACGCCCTTATGAATGCTCACTGTCGAACTAATGTCTATTTTTTTATAAAACGCACAAATGTTGGCTACTTTTCTCGAGGTTCTAGAAGAAAAAATATCAAAATAATGTTTTATTTCAAAGTTCGAGTGGTAGTAAACGTCATTTTAGCTGCTCGAATGAAGTGGTTAATTGAGGAAAATTCACAACCGCTTTCAACCTTACATGTGCTTACATAATTCAACAGGTTTATTACGACTGTTGTTCTAATGAGGAATGCTCTACGAATTGGAATGTACCATGATGGAATAAAACCTTACATAACCTTCGAAACAAAACCCGGGATAAAATAACAAGGCAATTGGCGTTGACGGCGACTCTGTAGCTCTTTACTCCTATGAGAAAATCCATAAGCAAACGTCAGACTGTGCGTGAATCATGGCGGACTTTGTACTATCCTTTCACTCCACCGAAAATTCCCATAAGAAACTATCTAAATTTGCTGGAAGAGCAAATTTTTCGACGGTGCTGTCAACGCCAATGGGATCAATATAGGGAAGCCCTCGCAGTTTCTAATAAGAAAATTCGGTGATAAAAAAGAAAGGATTGGAGTAGAAATACTCAGAGGGAGAGATAGGCGGAGAAAACTAAATACAATTCGGCAGCAGGGATTTGTATCTAAATTATCTTGCAACCCTTGCTAAAACTTAGCATTTCACATGACTTTTACTTTTGATTCGATTTACGTGTAAATTAATAATTGATTGCATCGCAATATTTTGCTCATTTTTTGGTGCCATTAATTAACCAACTAAGATCAATTAATCAATAGAGCATTTGATTCCAAAAACTAGTTGGATTTGAGAAGCACACGAAACATAGAGGTGATTGAATTTCTGTTCGAATGCAATACTCTCAAATTTAATCTGAATAAGAAATCCTCGGAAAAAATCTAATGGGAATGTTCGTTTGGCTCAGATTTTGACAGTTCATTTGGCTCAAAACATTCTCTCCGCTCATCTCTCCTTCTAGTATTTCTAGATTGGAGGCATAAATGTGAAAACATTGGAAATAGGGTAGAGAACTACTTCGGCCTAATCGCCCATTTTGGGCCTATCGAACAGAAAACTTAAAATAAATCCATGATTTCAGAGTTAACAAGTCTATTATGCGTTTGGTACGATGCTTTAGTTAATAAGCTACCGAACGAAGTCAATGAGAACGCGTGATATGAAGAAAAAAGTTGGAAGGGTTGTATACTAGATACGACCGCAGGGTTGGCGTTGGATAACGTCTGTTATGTGTTGTACTTAATTGTGTATATTATATTTAGGAATATTCCTTAATAACTCTTTTGCGAAAGTTTGGTGGCCCTGAAAAAGGCCGTTTTGTTGGGCTGATGTTGTTGACAATAATGGAACGGGCGACCTTGTTGGACGCTTATATAGTAGAACGTACGTTAAACTCTTTCTTGATAATGTGGTGGCCCTGAAGAGGGCCATTTTTCCAACGCGCTCGGCGTAGTTGCCCTTGCGGAGCAGACGGTGAATACGACCGACTGAGAACTGCAGCAGCTGGGCATTCCATGACGGCGGCCCAGTATACCGGAGCACTGGCACCAACGCACTCGGCGTAGTTGCCCTTTCGCCCCCAGGCTCTGCTGCCGCTGCTCTGCTGCCGTTGCTCTGGTACTGCTGCTCTGCTGCTCTGCTGCTGGGTCGACAATCGGATAGACAATGATGGAACAGGCGACCTTGTTGGACGCTTATATAGTAGAACAGAAAATATCAGAGGTGTCAGATACTCGCATCTGATGTCTCGGTTGGAGAAAGTATAAGAATATACAAAAATCAATCGATTTTCACCATCTTTAGACAATGGTTTACTTTTAACCATTTTTCAATAGTTTACAGAATGAAATTGAAACATTCAACAAATTGCTAGAAATATTTCCAATCGATTGATGCCATTATCTCGTAAATCTATCGAGAGACGGTTGAGTTATTATCGTTCAAAATTTTTTAATTTTTCGTAACGCATCCAAAATGACTGTTTTCAATTTTGTACCCCCGTATGTTGCCGAAAGACGTTATCCAACGTCAAAAAAAAAACAGAAGAAGCGCTCCGACCGAATAAGTGTTTATCTTCATCCGATAGGCCGAAGTGAATTTATTGGCGTTTCAATGCTGTAGGCCAAGTTTTGAATCCGTAGGCCGAGTTTGGCGTCAAGAAGCAGTGTTAGACTTTTGACAATATCTCAACGATTGGTTTCTCTTTATCAAATGTTACGGTACGTACGGAGAGGTAAATAAAGCCATCAGTAATAATAACACTCCGTTTGGTGCTAAACTGCGCTAGATTAAGAAAGACTAAGGGCGGGTTGTGCTTAATAGGCTGGAAATGGGGTAGTTAACCCTACTCCAATTGTTGTCAGATTTCAGAAATTCAGTGCCAACATTTCAAAGGGGCGTAATTGCTTTTGTAAACAATGACTTTAGCCGTCAATTTCTCGCGAATGAAATCTCACCTCTCCCAAATGACAATGCTAACTGGTAGAGGAAACATTCCTCTACCTGCTGGTGTCATTATTTTTAATGAGTGAGCTTTTATTCACGAGAAATCGACGGCTAAAGCCATTGTTTACAAATGCAATTACGCCCCTTTGATATGTTGGCACTGAATTCTTTTCGAAAGATCATTCAAATGGCCTGAGAACTCTTAAAAAGAAAACGTCACTTTTACAGGATCTGTGGAAGAAACAAACATCAATATAGACCCGAATATATGAGCAGCGCAAGCTGGCTATGAAAAATCCCGGACGGAAGTTTAGAAAACATTGAATGTATCGACTGGGTTAGAGATAGCCAGGAAGATGCTCATAATCTGGCCTATATAATTTTTACAGAAAAATGAGTCGAATAGGCGATTGATTCTTTTCAACCTTTGAAGTCACCAGCAGGCTTGCTTCCACTCACTTGCTATAAAAACATGATTTTCTGAATTTTGAAATTATTAGATGTTATAATCATATTTTGTACTTGTTAGATACAAGAAGAGGTTGAAAGGCAAGTGTTTGACACATGAAACCAGTCAAATTTGCTTTCAGATAGTCACAATCAGCGATTTTACGACTCGCGAGCGCTCACACTGAGTGAACGCTCACGAATCATAAGATCGCTGATTGTAACACTCTGGTAGTGAAATTGGCAGATTTTATTAGTCAAACACTTGCCTTTTAACCTCTTTTTGTATCTAACAAGTACAAAATATCATTATAACATCTAATGATTTAAAAATTCAGGAAATCATTTTTTTATAGCAAGTGAGTGGAAGCAACCCTGATCACCAGTTAGGGACGAAATTTTTCCAGTTCTCCATCAGAAAAGAAAGGGAATGGTGACACCTATTCTTACAGGCTTTAAAGCAAGCCTGATACGCAAGGTGATACGATCCTGCGTTTCCAAATCATAGGCCACTTCAAGTTTTCTAAGGATTTAATCTCGGGCACTATTGTGATTTATGGCATTAAATTGGTATCACCATATTTGCTGCGTCACATCGTATATTTTCTGGTAACAGATAATAAATCCCTGGAATTTTCAAACTGGCCTCAGAGCCCGGGCTTCAGGATCATATCACCTTAACATTAAGCTATATTCCGATAACCTGACGTCAAGTAAAAGTTTTATTTATCCCAAAGGCTAATTAAAAGGATAAAACTTCGTCTAAATCCTTCAGGCCGATCAGTTTGTCATTCATTATGCTTAAGATAATAGAAAAAAACTAATAGATGAGTGTATAAAGTCATCATACTTACTTACAATTCCTTTGAGTAAATATCAAATTGAATATCAAGCTGGTTAATCCACAGTAACAGCTCTTCATAGGTTGTTACAAAACTAAAAAAATCATTTGAATCAAAATATATTTCACTAGCAGCGTTCACTGATATCGAAGGAGCATTTGATAATGCATCATATAACTCAATGAAAAACGCTATTATGAAAAGTGGATTCGCTAAAAGTGTTATAGTTAATTAACCACTTCATTCGAGCAGTTAAAATGACGTTTACTACCACTTGAACTTTGAAATAAAACATTATATTGAGACTTTTTCTTCACGAGTAAAGTAGCCAACATTTGTGTGTTTCATAAAAAAAACAGAAATTAGTTGATCCAGTTTTGTGAAACCGCTGGTAGAAAGTCACGCCAAAACTGCTTGACTTGAGTGGTCAATTGGATTGATGAGATGTTTTCTAAAGCGCCCATTACACATGTCAATATATTGACAATAAATTGACATACTGACAATATTATTGAAAAGGTGATATTGATGATGATGATTGATGACAAGTATTGACGAAAAGCTGATTTTCATTTCACTTTGTCAATACTCAGAACATATTGACAAAAAAAAAAAACAGTCAATTCTATCAATATCATCAATATACGAATATTGACAACATCAATGGCAATACGTTTGAAGCCTTTTAACCTCAATGTATTAAAGTCAATATTACTTGTCTTAATTTCCCCACACAAGAAACATGGATCAGCGGATCAAAAGAGAAACGTCGTTACTGGACCTGGAAAGTACTAACTACACACTGAATTTGGATAACCTGAGTCGGTAAAATTTTACGCGGTTCTTAAATAGGTCCGTACAATTTCGCAATAAATTTCAAAATTGTTGAATTGGTTGGTACTAGAAATACTCAGAGGAAGAGATGGGCGGAGAGAATGTTTTGAGCCAAATGAACTGTCAAAATCTGAGCCAATCGAACATTCCTATTAGAATTTTTCCGATGATTTCTTATTCTTTCTAGAATAAATTTGAAAGTATTGCAATCGAACAGAAATTCAATCCCCTTTATGTTTTGTGTGCTTCTCAATTCAACTAGGTTTTGGAACCAAAAACAAAACAAAATGATCTTAGTTGGTTAATGAATGGCACCAAGAAATGTGCAAAATATTGCGATGCAATCAATTATTATTTTGCATGTAAATCGAATCAAAAATAAAAGTCATTTGAAATGCTAGCTTCTAGCAAGGGTTGCAAGATAATTTAGGAACAAATCCTTGCTGCCGTATTGTATCGTATTTTGTTTTCTCCGCCTATCAGACCCTCTGAGTATTTCTAGTTGGTACTATCCTTTCACTCCACTGAAAGTTCCAATAAGAAACTGTCAATGTTTGTTAGAAGAGATGATTTCTCGACGGTTCCGTCAACGCCAATATCAAATGTTGTAACTTTTTGACAGGACACAGAAAATACACAGGACAACATGATAACAAATTAATGGAATTGAATCAAATCGATTGTCGACTGCGTGGAATTACCACTCGTGTTGAATAACCCACGTTGAAGGTATGCAGTTTCCCATAAATAAACTATTATGCTGATGTTTTGGTAAACATTCCTAAAGGAAAAACTTGCATATATTATTGAATTTGCGTTACGTGTAGGCATGTGAAACGCAGATAGTATTTATTTTATTTTAAAGTAAAAAAAAAAACAAAATTACATGATTATGCTTGTGATTTTGTAGAAAATGAACATCGATATAGACGAAGCCTGGGTAGTGATTGGCGACTGTAAAAGGATACTTTTTTATTTAGTTTGATATCCATTTTATATCACACACGAAGATTTAAACAAAATGCCAACACTGCATGCGTGAAGGTGCATTGTGAGTCAGTCGGTCTAAATGACGTACGTTCTCCCTCCTCTTGGGTAGGGGAAGAATATTGAGAAAGTGAAATGAAAATCAGTTTTCAACAATACTCGCCATCAAACCATCGTCATCAATATTATCTTTCAATAATATTGTCAGTATGTCAATTTATTGTCAATATATTGACCTGTGTAACAAACGCTTTAGTGTATTGTCATTAATGTTGTCAATATTTATATATTGATTATATTGTAAGGAAAATTGACAATACGATGTTTGTCAATATATTGACATATGTAATGGGCGCTTAAAAGAAAAATCTCAGCAAACCTTGGAGGCATAGCAGTTAGAGTTGTACAAAAGTGTCCTCACAGAAGTGTTCTTTAACCTCTATTATGGTCTTTAATAGATGACGAACTTCTAAAAAACTTAGAAGCACAGGGCTTCGAGATTATTGGCTTCACAAATGACATAGTCATAATAGTGTGTGGAAAATATGGCCATGTCATTTCAAATAGAATGCAAACCATGTTTCATCGTGGTGTGCCAATGAAGGGTTAAATTAAATCTTCTAAGACGACTATAATACCATAATTACCTTTGGACCATTGATTTGGTGGCTCTGGATTCCCCCGGTGAAGTGACTAGAACCTGATTTGAATAAAATCTCAGATGAATACATTTTTATGCTTGTATGACTTCCATAGACTGCTAGCTTTCCTTTTCTGTTGAAGTCGAGCAGCTTCGCGCATTCTAGCACCTCAGTCGGCGTCTAAAAACAAATTTTCAATCGGTTGTCTCTTTTTCTTCCGTCGCTTCATTCGATTTTGTTTCAAGCATCGGTGAAGTGGATGAGTGAAAATGTGCTCGACTTTGATAGTTTCCTCTTCAATGAAACACATCAACCGAGGTTTCATGACGTACATGTCGGAAGATGAAATAAATTCGTTATTTTATTTTCAAGATTCAGTGCCTCAAATTTAAATCTTAATAAGGAATCTTTAAAAGTTTACTCAGTCCATGATATTTTTTCAAACTCCAGGATCTGGAGAATTTTATAATTTATCAAAGTTTAGGATGTATAATATTTGCTATATTCAGTTTTTAGAAAATGTAATTCTTGGCTTTTAAATATGTTTTCAAAGTTCAAGAGCATGACTTATTTTTATGTGCCATAATTTTGAACTGTTCTGAGCAATTCTGCATTTCGAAAGTTTGTGTTTATATAGTTTTTTTCTGTCATTTTCTTCATGGTTTTTATGTCAGGATTTTGGATCTAAAATTCTTGATTTTATTTTCTGGGGTCTATAATATTATACTTAGCCCCAGAACCATGCCAATTTTGAAAACTCGATGCCTTGTATTTTCTAATTCTTCTGGGATCTTACAATTGTTTCTAAATCCAGGATCTGCAATTTAAGTCCAAATTGGGGATCTTTAAAGTTCGTCTTAGTTCAAATCTTGCTTCCAATAATAGAAACTTGAAAATTTTGAAAAAAATTAAAAACTTCCAATCTGGAATAAATTTCTATTCTCGAGATCTTGTATATTTTCTGTTGCCATGGTATCTTGTCATGTGTCCTGAGCACAACCAGTTAAGCAACTTATTTCTTAAGTTATCCTTAAGTAGTTTCAGGAGTCATTTTTAAGTGTCTGGAATTGTTGAGAAATGTCATAATAAATGCGTACAAATGCAATGGTCAATTATACCTTGAGATTCCCCAACTACTCTGTTACATTATAGACTTAAGTATATACTTTGTAAACGATTCCAATTATGTCATCAGCTCGTTGTTGCAAGATGCTGTCAGTAGCTTGACATAATTACATGTATGAAATTTAGTGTTGTTTTGCTGTTTAATGAATTCATGATTGACTTGTCAACGATGAAAAGTGGTTTGTCTTTGAACTACTTTACAAGGAACATAAAGCTGCACTCATAAACCTCACGTCGTGTTTGGAATAAGCTAACAGTAACAGTTTGTTTGCTCACTGACCCCAAAATGCTGCTTTGATGTGCTCAGAGCTTCACTTTCAGTCCGAAAGGTATGAGAAACATTCATTCGATTTGATATTTGCCTAATATACTGACTAACGGAAATCAATAAATCTAACACCCAAGTAGAACGTCGGGTACCGTCCCGTCAATAGAAGGTGCGGCTTGGAAATGTCTGTTGTTTGTTGAAAAGTTCAATCGTGTTCCATCAATCAAGGTTGTACTCAAAGTGTCTTCTGTTTTATTACAGCTTCCAGCGGAATACATCAGCTTACTTCAGCAATTAGCCGATCACCAGAAACATGCAGCACCCGTCAAACAACCGAAGCACCACTCCTACGACGCTCAAAACGCCCAAACCGAGCAATACTATCAGCAACAGGCACAACATCAACATCAGCATCAGCATCAGCAGCAGCAACAGCAGCAGCAGCAACAGCAGCAGCAGCAACAGCAGCAGCAGCAGCAACAACAGCAACAGCATCAAACACAGCACCATCATCCATCGTCACAACAGAATCAGATTCAATACATTACTGAAGAGGAGTACGCTCAAATTTTAAAACATGCTCAAGCTCAAAACCATCATGCTGCAGCCCAACCGCAGTATACCCGACCAGCCGGAAAGCAAGGTAAATATTTGCGTTTGCGTGATGTGATCTATTGATGTCCAGGTGTGGTTGATCACCGTTTAGTCTATCAAATGATATTTGCTATTTGTTTTGCATGTTTGCAAATGATTAGTTGATAATTTACACTTTTTTTTTATTTCGTAGAATCACCAAAGTACCGCCCTTCGGTTCAACTGTTGGAGACTGGTCATGAACATGGACAAGCCTACGCACAGCCAGATCCTGAGCAACCATATCGAATCCAATACAAGAGCATTCAACAGGCTGGATCCGTAACGCCCGTATCGAAACCAATTAGCTCCTTTTCATTCGAAAAAGAACTCGCTAAATTGGTGGAGTCAAATCGTCCCGTTGCCTACCATCCAGGAAATCCACACAGATCAAGCGAACGTGGACCTCATGAGAATCCGCGGTACGTGGTGAATCCCCAGTCGCACGAATATGCTTATGCTTCTGCAAGTGCTCACGAACACGCCCCGAAACAATCGATCAAGGCTCAATATATTGCGCCATTCGCTCAACTGCATTCAGGACCCAAACCAAGTGCTGCTCATCTGCAGGTTGGACCTCACAAATTCGCAGAAAGTCCTGCTCAAAAGTACCAGTTCATTTCACAGGAAGCCCCTGTCAAGGGTCATGGCCCTCAGCAGTACCATACAGAAGTTTCTCCCAAGTACGCTCAGCACTCAGGAGAGAAGCAGCCTGCAGGAACTCCTTCCCCTAAAATTCAGTATTATGTACCCAAAGAAAAGAACCTTCAACTCTATTACTCTCAGCAGGCTTCGGAAAAACAGCCGACAGAGCAGCATGCGTCCCAGCATCCAATGAAGATCGTCGAAGCACCTCAATTACAGCACGAGAAACCACACAAGCAGATTCAAACACACCGTCCAAAGGCTCAGTATGTTGCCCGAGATAAGCAAGCAGAGCAAAGCCAGCAATCAGTTCAGAAATCTCAAGAAGCTGAAACTCCATCCCGATCGGCCATTTATGTATCTCAGCAAACTGGAGTGTCACCATCGCCAGCTTCTGCTCAGTACGCGAGTCAGGAAAAGCAACAGGTTCAACATCATAAGGCTCCGCCCAAGATTGACCGTCCTCTGACACAAGAAGAATTCCAAGCTCTGGTGGATGCCGGTTATTCGGTTGTACCAGTTCCGGTTCCTGTGCACGTTCCCCAGTATCAAGCACAATCGCAAGCCGCAGCTCGAGGATCAGCTGGTCCTTCTGCACCTTCTGCACGCCATGGCCCAGTCCCACAGGCCCGATACCATCAGCACCAAATAGCAGCGGAGAACCATCCCAGTCAAGTTGTCACCTACCTGCGTCCGCTGCACATCGATCCCTTCTCGGCAGGCGTCAGAGGTCCCAACAAGGCAGCTCCCTAAATGTAGAAATGAACTGCCACTGTTATAGCTTAGTACGTTAGATAAGTATTATAAATAGTATTCTAGTGTAATTTATCCATAACTTCGCCCGAGCACAAAACAGCTTCGTTTGCCACAAAACGGTGGATTGAGACGAGATTTATGATTTGTTGAAACCATGATGCAATTGTTACGCATAATTTATAAAACCTTTTGTGTAACGTCGATAAACTGAAGCGAAAATAAACGTTTTTATAAAAGATACATACTTTGCTGTGTTGTTGAGATTAGTGGCTAAAGATTTTAGTGGTTATTTTTTTCAGCGTTTTTTACTCAATTTGATAAAATTGGTGTTGGATATCGATTTTGCTCCACTAAGCTCAATCAATATAATATCAGGTTCTGATCCTTCTCCGACAATTTGAACTCATTTTGTTGCGATATCATACTGTACTGACCCTTTTAAGGTGATTCCTTGAATAGTCCACAAATGTCCACGTCATGATGAATGATAATCCCCTAAGGAAAAATCCTAGGGTGGGCTATATTTATTTTTCAATAATTTTATAATGGACCAATGAAAATGCTGAGGTTCTGACAGAATTATGCTGTGGCTACCACAGTATTTTACATTTGATCGTCAATATACAGTAGCGCCAAAAGCATGCTGTGGTGGATTCAAAACTTGACCATCTAAATAGATTAATTAGCTTCCAATTTTGATGTGTAAGGAAAATAAGCAATTGTAGTAATTATCCTAGAGGGGGCAACATTAATCCTATGGGGCACGGTAGCCCCTGCTAGCCCACCTGTTGTAATGTTAATGATAAGCCTTATCACTACTTGGTAAACAAATCCACATGCTGCTACATCATAGTGCAAAATGCAGTATGCTCAGAAAGCAGTCGATTAATCATTTCAGTGCCAACATTTCAAAGGGGCGTAATTGCATTTGTAAACAATGGCTTTAGCCGTTGATTTCTTGCAAATAAAAGCTCACTCATGAAAATTAATTGCACCAACAGGTAGAGGAATGTTTCCTCTTCCAGCTAGCGTTGTTAATTTGGAGGAGTGAGCTTTTATTTGCGAGAAATCGACGGCTAAAGCCATTGTTTACAAAAGCAATTACGCCCCTTTGAAATGTTGGCACTGATTTCAGAAAGTTATTTGAGTTTGATGTTCAATCAAAAGGGGTCCTGAGTAAAATTTAAAAATTTAAAATACAAACAGCAAGCTTACCCGTAAATCATTTTGATGAAAGGCTAATGATGAGAACAAAAAGTTCACTTTTCCTATAATAATTCCCACAGTGAAAAACTCTTAAACTCAAATTTCATGCATGAGTTTATGCACCTATGAGTTTTGCCTTGCAAAATTCAGCATCGGAAAAAATCATCGATGAGTGTTCGGGTAACTAACGCAACGGGACGGGACGTTGAAAAACTAACACAACATGCATAAGCGTGCTATAAATAAACGTGTGTACATGAATATCCTTAAGCGTGAATTTTGTTTGCCACATTCGCACGTAAGTTTATTCTCGCAAGGAGACTTAATGAATGAAATTTGAGAATAATTTTCCGAACATGATTCCCATTTAAAATTTAAATGGCCAGTGCAGTATGAGCTCTCAATCAAACTAGCTCAAAATGTGGGAGAATGGATGTTTTGAACCATCCTAATGAATAGTTTCTTTCTACGATGGAGTCTTTATTGGCGATTTTCACCATAATTCAAATGCCGCAGAGAGTTTTCCTAGAACTCTTTGCATCTCCTGTGAAATTTTTTGAGTCATAACTGCCATAAAATGCTTTCTATAACTACTACTATTATTCCTTAAAAATTCTCCTCCGTATCAATCAATCTTCCCATGGCATGTCCCCTAAAATTATTGATGTTCTTTGAGTTTCTATGGAACTGTTCTGTATTCAGATTCCCTTGGAATTATTATCGCAATTCTCTTGGAAATAATGTCAGGAGTTCTTGGGATTAGAATTTTACTGGAATTGTGATTAGAAATCCCTTGGAAGTGATATTTGAATTGTATTTAGACTTCCTTTTTTAATCTTGCTCATAAAATCATTCGGAATTCAACACTCCTTAGCTGCTCCTTACAATCCCAATCCATTGTCTCATAATTACCATGTACATTTATTCATAATACTCTTAGAACTCTCCAACAAAGCAACCTGAAGTTCTTCTCACAAAGCCCATTGAATACCTACTTTTCCAAATTACGGACGTCCTTAAGAATACTTTGCATGATTTCCATGGGAGTTCTCTACATTCCCTTGGAATTTCACCCATTTATTAAATGTCAATGAAATTAATTTTGGTGAGAAATTGCTTGCAAAACCTATTTGATTTCGCTTCTGTGCCGTTTTATACGTCTCTGTCTGGAACCTATCGAACCCATCAACACATGAGTCGGAACCAACAGCTTTCCCTTGCCAGGGAAGACGTGATTAGACATTTATTTGCCTCAGGAAAATCTCGACGACCTCGGCTGGGATCAGGGTTCTTAACGGCATTAATGCCGTGCACGTCAATAACAACCCTGGTTAGCGTCATTGAACCCAGACAGACTCGATGTGCGGTATAAGAGGTGAGGAGAAAGGAAACTAGTGGACTCTTTCATTCTGACGGTGTTCTTATGCAACAGCAGACGTGACGTCACGTCTGTTGCTGCGTAAGAAGACGCGAGAACGAAAGAGTGCACTAGTTTCCTTTCTCCTCACCTCTTATACCGCACATCGAGACAGACTGGGGTCAGAGTTGATAATAGAAGCGCTACGCAGAGTGAAGCTTGCAACACTAATGTCGATCAATGGGCATTTTTTTAGATTGGCAACCTATGTATTTGTTTACACCTTGGATGACTTCACCTGGGTTGTGAAAGTTTCCTGTTATCCTGATTTGTGCAAACAATACTTCCCACGCAACAGGGTCCGTTTGTCTACTATGCTCGATAGGTAGACGGTTTGACAGTTCGATAGGTAGATTTTGGTTGCAATCTGCGTAACTCTTCTATTATCAACTCTGACTGGGGTGTTAAAGCAGTCACGCTTACCACTCAACCATCGGCGCCGTAATTTGGCATGCTATTTTTTAGCATTATTTCTTGATATTCTACCTCTTATGACAGGAAACGGCCCCGGCGTTATGTTTAACATCCACACCACTCTCAAAAAAGTCACGAGTTCAAATCTCATACATCAAGTCACGAATGACCCAAGAGTGTTAAAGCAACTAGGGGAAATGACGGCTTCGGCATGCCAGACTATTTTCGGCAACCCAAATTGAAACACTATTTTCACTGGATTTTCTTACGAAAACACTTCGCAGAATGCATGCAAACGATTCTTTATGCTTTCAGCTTCAATTTGACTATATTTTTACCACTGAGAAAAAGTAATCTAGCAAGGTTTTCTTGAAATGAAACACACGCACTACAAATTGTAGCTGATTTCGAGTTGCCGATAATAGAACAGCAGATTTACATGCAGTTCAAATGGAACGGTTGCCGAAGAAAAACTGGTTGCCGACAATACTCGCTCTCACTAGAGAAGATTGGAGCTTTGTAAAAGCGTTTCAAAACAGTTTTTGACAATTCTTTCGACTGAAATTGTTAGAGCAGCTGGAAGCAAAAGATTGTAAACAAACCAATACTGCATATGTGTGCGTTCCTTAGAGAAAAAGGCTATAGAAAGAAGGTCGCTGCTTAGGTTGCCGAGAATACGTAAATTCCCCTATAACAAAAAACCTCTTATTTATCTAAATCAAATAGGGGCCTCCCTAAGCTCAGTCGGGAAAGGCGCAGCTGCAAAGCAAAACCATGCTGGAGGTGGCTGGGTTCGATTCCCGGTCAGGTCTAGGAATTTTTCGGGTTGGAAAATTTCTCGACTTCCCTGGGCATAGAGTATGATTGTACTTGCCACACAAATATACTAATGCAGAAATGGTACAGGCATCGAAAGCTCTCAATTAATAACTGTACACTTAGAAATAACTAATTTTACACGTGACGGAATCCGTCTTTGACATAACAGATGAGCCGCAAACAAACATGTCATGTAATATTAAGTGCTCCGAGAAAAGTTCGTTGCTCGACGAAAAGTACGTTTGACTGGATTATATTTCGCGTCTGTTATGACTCACATTTATGTCAAAATTGACGCTCGCATATGTCACTATCATAGCACCTAAATTTACATGATTTTTTGTAAGTGTGTGTGGAAGTGCATCTAGAACACTAAGTTGAGAGCACGCAATAAGCTAATATACGATATGCAATAAGCTTGAAATGCGAAGAAGAAGAAGAAGAAGTAAATCATCTTTAGATACCAGTAGTAAAGTTTCTTCCAATATGGTGACTTCCCTTTTACGAAAAACACACTTAGAAAAAAATATGTAAATTTAGGTGCTCTGAGACTGACATATACGAGCGTCAATTTTAACATAAAATTGAGTCATAATAGACGTGAAATTCAGCTCAATCAAACGTACTTTCGAACTTTTCAGTCTCGGAGCACTTAATTTTACATGGAATGTTTGTTTACGTCTCATCCGTTATGTCAAAGATGGATTACGTCACGTGTAAGATTAGGTATTTCTAAGTGTGTACAATATTTTCAAACGGGGAAGAAGTGTGGACTCCAGAGATCGACGCTTTTCACCATTTTAGAATTGAAGATAGCGGCTACCGGTATGTGAGATACTTTATAATGGGGTAATGAAGTCTGCATGTTTTTTTTAAACTGGAAGTCGCCATCTTGGATTCCAAAATGGCGGTGGCCACCGATATCCGGTCTCTACGCGTTTTTGTCAGGGCCTCTGTTAACTAAGTCGGTAAAGGTGCAGCTACAAAGCACGACCATGTTGAAGGTGACTGGGTTCGATTCCCGGTCCGGTATTGGAATTTTTCGGGTTGGAAAATTTCTCGACTTTCCTGAGCAGAGAGTATGATTGATTGTACTTGCCACACAATTATACGAATGCAAAAATGCTACAGACATCGAAAGCTCTGAAATTAATAACTGTGGAAGTGCATATAGAACACTAAGTTGAGAGCACACAATAAGCTACTATGCGATAAGCAATAAGTTTGAAATTCGAAGAAGAAGTCGCCGTTAGTGGCGCTTAAGTCGAATAGGAATCTTTACACTAGTTTTTAGAGAAATTTTGTTCGAGGCTCAACGTCTGTTCTTTGAAACTAAACTACAAAATTTAACTCAAAAACAAAGAAAAAAAGAAAAAAACACATT